TCTCTTATATTTGAAGTTAGAGAGACAACATAATATTATCAAGTCCATACCATCATTCAAATAAGGTTTAGGCATCAAATCAAGTAACCAGTGTACGCCCATATACCCAATCAAACACCTTTTGAGGAAAAGCCAATCTAGATTGGAGAAAAAGTGGAGACCTCCAATCCTCCCAAATCTATCGCAACTAAAAAATACTTCAAGTCTCACGGTCTTCGTCACATTTTATTCGATTGTCCAAACAAGAGGGTAATCTTTGAAAAAATAAATAGTGACATAGAAGGGAATGAAGACATTAGAGAGGAGTATTAACTTCCAGGTGATGAGTGCTTGTGATTCAAGTTGAGCTCATGATAAAAGCTCTAACATGACTAACATTGGTTATCATAGAAGGTAATAAGTATGAGGAGCCAATACCAGAAAAACGGTAGCTTTTGTTGAGAGGGTTGTCAGATGTTTTGATTGACAATTTATCTCCTAGGTGTTTGGCACTGAGAGTGGTCTAACATGTCAGAGATTTCGTTCTAGCATCAATTCCTCCAAATAGACTTGTTTATCATATGCACACAACCGAGTATGGGGATTAGGAGAAACAAGTTGCAGATTTAATTGCTTGAGGCTTGATTCATGAGAATACTTGACTATGTGCAGTTTGAATTTTGGTTGTGCCAAAAAAGGATGGTTATTTACTTCTATCAGGACATACTTTGAAATAATTTGTGTTTTAGAGCTTCATGGAATGGAGGTGAGCATAGGTTTTGCAATGGGACTTCTTCTAACACAACAAAACAATGACTTTATTATGGTGGTGGTAGGTTGATTTCAGAAGCCTACAAAGAATAAACTCTCCTAGTTGGGAGAATGACGCAGAACTTCTGGATTGCAAAAATTACAATCTCAATCGCTGGAAATTCGCAATATCACAAAATTCGGGTAAATCCTTGACCCACGCTTGCCATTCTACAAAGCACCCAATTTTCAATCTAGCTTGGTTTATTTATTTATTTTTATGATTTTTTTTCCTATTTTATTATTTCTAGTTAGGGTATTTTTTTTATTAGGAGATTATTTATGTGTGTTTTTGGGTTTTTTGAGGACATTAGTTTTGTTTCGAGTATTTTGGAGATTCTAATGTCTGTTTTCTACTTTAGGGAGTGTTGTATCTTTTTTCTTTTGCAAGCGGTGTGTCTGTAGCTTATGCAGGAATATGCAGTGATCTCCTTGCCGTTTGTACATTAATTCTTTAGAGTTCTCTTTATTATTTTAGCCGGAACTTCCATCGAATGATGCTTATCATTGTTTAAACTTTGTTGAACTCATATATTATCATTCCCTCGCTATTACACAACCTCACCCCTATTAGATCCGCTTTTTTTAACACTTTTAAGGAGGCCTAGAATAGTATTAGTATGCAAATGCCCCTTAAAATAAATAGGGCATTGTGAAGCTTTTGCTTGAAATCATAGATTTAGTCCCTTTTCAAGATGCAACGAGTACTATCTAGATGGGCCCACATGTCAATCTCCAGGCGCATCAGTAGATGTTGTCGACCTCGGTCCCGCACATCTAGTCTAAGGAAAACCTTAGGGCCGCACAGTGAGAGGAATTGAGGAATTTTCTGGGCAAGACCTATCTACTGTCAAGCAAGAAGTGATAGAACTCATATATCTATTGTTTGTCAAGGTGGCTAGTGGATACATTTTGGAAACTTTTTCAGAGCCGAGTAAGTTAGCGCAGATTGTATCTCTGTTTTTTTTACTGCCTTTACAGTGCTTCATAACCATTTTCATGGCACTCCACTGATGATTCTTGCAAATCATAGTGTATGAAATGCTTGCAGGCCTTCCGGCAGGTGACAAGCTGCCTTATCGGCCTGATTCCTATACAAAGAAGAAGCTTAGGATTCGTTCCTTATTTTTCACTACAATAGTAGCTGATGAGCTAGCGTCATTTGTTGCCTATTGGCTGCATAATCAGTCTCAAGAACTATAACTTAAAAAGAGGGATGATCAAATTAAAAATTAATGGGCCGCGAGTAATTAAATTTAAAACTTTCATATCTTAAAAAGTTTTTTTAAAAAAAAAATTGGTACAAATATTATTATTAAATTAAATATATAGTTATATTAAATTATTATTATTAAGCATTTAAGTTTAGGGGACAATTTTCAGTGTATTATATGATATTAACAAGTTTGGTAAAAATCTAGGAGTGGTGAATGCCTCCTTAGTCATCCCATGGTTCGACCATTGTGTGAAATGTTTGATGAGAAAATACCTCTTGTTTTTCTATCAGTTTGTTACCGGTGGAGAGCTGTAGCAATCTAAGTTGTCATAGGTAAAATAACTCTTGATGTATTGAATATTCCATGCAATGTTATTATGAGCTCTTTTTTCCATCCAAGAATGCCAGCTGCCATTAAGAGAGCTATGAGCTGAAACAAAACGCTTCTAAGCTAGTGCTCCAAGCAAAACCACTTTTAATTAAGTAAAAATACAACAAGAAGCAAAATTTTCTCGACAAATCGTGTTATTCTTCCCATCCTTCTCTCACTCACTTTGTTAGGACTACTACAAGCTTCATATATGCACAATAAACCTTTACATAATTCTTTCCTAGATCAATTCCAGACATCAAAATATTAGCATTTTCAATGAGATAGATGAAGGAAAAAAGTTATCTAAATGAAGCCTTCCTGTCCTCTTCTAATCATGACTATGAGAAGAGATGATTAACATCAACCAATCTAAGTTTATTGATGAATGACGGCATTGCCAACTTAACTCAATTTTTTTTGGTATGTAACACTCCTTAGCTTTCCCTCGCTCTCAATTGTGGGAGCCGATGTGGAGTATATTTTGCCAAACTGTGGACAGAAGACCTAAAATAGTTCGCTTCGACACCACTGAAGGAGTGCTAGCATGTGCAGAGCTGATGAGGGCTGTGGTGATCACTGCTCTCTGAGAGGAAGTTCTCCCTGCCAATATTAACCAGGACCCTTTTTGGCAAAGGTGGCCTTCATCGATTGGCTTAGGGATAAAAATTTCAGATTTCTTATTCTCGTGATAATGCCAGGAGAAAAGTATCAAAATGATTCTCTAATTCCTTGCAGCAGGTCATTTTAGTTTCATAGTCTTTAAAGTGTCAATTTAGTCCCCAAATTCTTTTAAAGATGAGTTGAAATAGTTCATAAGGACTATTTCAACTCCCATTAAAAGAGTCCGGGCATTGATGGTACCGGATTTAACCCAAAGAATTATAGGAAAATACAATCTCACAAATGGAACGACACAAACACTCAAACTAGGGCGGATCTCGGGTTGTAGAGATGATTGGCGAGGGTTTGATCCTCAGGAGAGGTAGCAAAGGGCGGGGGAAGGAATGGAAGGTGCGTGCTAGCAAAGATGTGCGGGTAACTGCAATGGGGAGTTGTGAAGCTGCAGGAACAACAATTGTGGTTGCTGTCTTAGGCTGGGGCAGCAAGAAAGAGGGGGCTGGAAAACGGGGAAGTGGCTGGGATGGGGGATGTTATGGTCTACGACAACAATGGAGGAGTTGTGGCAATGGTAGCAAGCTGGAATGAGAGAAACGGGTCGCTGGATGGTTGGAATTGTAGGTGAACATCAAAGAGTCGTTGTTCTGGGTGGCGGCAAACAGGGGAAGTGACAGTAACAGTGACGAGGGATGTGGGGGGCTGCGGGACAGCAAGAGGACATTTTTCCCGGGCTGCGGCAGCGAGGAAGGCGGCTGAAATTGGAAAACTACAGTGAAACCAACAACGGACTGCTATTTAGGGGTGGCTGCAGCAATGGAGGCCGGCAATGAGTGACTTGGGAAGGTTGCTGAAGGGGATAGGAAAGATAATCACAATCTCGGGAGCGAGATACAGACGGAGCGCCGCTCAAACTCTCGGATACAACTCACAAAGGGAAAAATGGAGATGCTGGCGGCTGTCTCTATATTAAACACACACAAATTGAGAATCCTAACCTGAATACTCGCATATACATGAAAAGACTAGAAATGAATGAACAATAAAAGAAAAGGTGCTAAAAATTTTGAAAGAAATTGGAGGAGCCACTCGGTCCGGCTTTGCCCTGCACACACAACCTAGCTGCCACGTATAGTTGCGGGAAATCCTGTGTACTGCTTCGTCTGGAAACACATAAATTGATTTGGCATTTTTTTTTAATTATTGGATTAAAACTGTCTCGTATAAATTGTCGATAACTATTTTTAATACTTTACTCTTGAGATAAAGGACTTGCTGGCTAAGGCAAACAAATATATCAATGCTGAGGAGATAACCGCTGGACATAAATGCCCCTTTACCTCTACAACAATAACAACAACAACAAAGGCTACATGAATCCTTTTTCTCCATTGCATCCTATTTAGTGTCATATTTTCATTTAGTTCTAGTAAATTAAGATCATTTTTAATACAATTAGCCGAAGTCTTCCTAGGTCTACCTCTGCCTTTCTTAACACAAGTCGAATCTAAAACATCTAACCTCCTAATCGGATCATTAGATGGTCGACGTTTAAAAATGCCCCTTTACCTCTGCTCAAACAAAATTATTCACTGTAAGATGGCCCATATTAGTGGGACGGTGAGTGCCTATTTTTAACATCGCACAGAAATTTTTATCAAACATACGCAGCTTTTATATATGATTTATGCAATAATTTCGGTCTATGTTTTACCAAAATGTTATCTACATAGAATATAATGCTACTATTACTGCACACCACAACAAAGGTTACAAAATACAACATTACCAAACGGATCCCAAACATTAGGAGCTCATTTTTACTGATGTCCATTGGTCCGCGCTTTATATAAACTTTACTTTCGGCAAGCAGATTTTACATATTTCACACCCAAGCTCTAAATTCCTCACCATCTAGCTCCCAAAATTCAAAATTTTTATTGCACTGATATCCCTAAGCAAATCAATCTGGACTAAAAAAATGTTTTTTTTTTTATTTGATTGCAGGAATTGGTGGGAACGGGTATCCTCTTTGCTGGTTTTCTAGTGCTTGCTCTCATATCGCTAGTCTTTATTCTCTTCTTTATACCAGAAACCAAAGGCCTTACTCTGGAGGAGATAGAGGCCAACGTCTTATAATCTCTCATTTACCCACCATTATCCTTGGATGACTTTTAAGGATAATATTAAGGGTTGTAATGATATTATTACATACTGTATATAATTTATGTATAATAAATTAATGATAATGTGTTTGTGAGATAATATACCTTAATACAGTCTTGTATATGATTAATGGATTAATAAATTAATGATTATTTCAAGACTAATTTTTGCTTTTTAGTCTTATTGTAAATCATTTTTATGAAATATTGAAATTGCAGTGCTGAAGAACAGATTTGATGTCAGCCCCTGACGAAGGTTTACTTTCGGACATTGACAGACTTCTAATCAAAAGAGTAAAGAGATTATCTCACTTGTAAGCTGATCATGTAAGGAGTTATCATGCCGACATGAGGTATAATTTGTCAATTTATATTTTATTTATGTATTTATTTATTCGATATAGACTTGTGATGTTGATTTATGATATTCTGCCACTTTCAATGATCGAACGTAAGCCATGTGCTGTTCCGTTCACGGATGCCACTTAAATTCATAGCTATGGTAGGCAGCTCCGGCACTCATCAATGAGTTCATATTGAATATTTATTTATTTGGAGAGAGAGAGAGAGAGAGAGAGAGGATAATTATTAAAATTACTGGTATGCAAAATTTTCTTTATAGGGCTGTGAATTTAGCTCGAAGACTGTTAATCACTCAAAAACTGATTCTAATGTTGAATTGGATCAAATTAATTGAGTCGTGCGGATTAAATTTTTTGAGTTAATCCCAGCTCGGCTCAAAATCAGATTGTTTGCAGTTCTAGTGATGTTAGTGCTATGAATTTAGCAAATTTAGCTCGAAGATTGTTTATCGCTTGAAAATTGATTAGAATTTTGACTTTGATTGATATTGAATCGAATAAACGTGTTGACTTACCAGCCAAAATTTTGGATTGAATTTTTTTCGAGCCGATATTGATCTTGACTCAATTCTGCTGGCACTCGGACTCTATATTGGATCGATAACAGCCCTATTTGTTCATCACCATTCCGATTTTGCAGGTAAAAAAGTGTGCAGGCACCCTTCAAAGAATAGCCAACTCTGCTATCTGCATAAGTGTGGTATAAGCGGAGCTGCGAAAGAGGTCCGTTTCGCACCCATATTTGTTTTTTCTATATGTACTCATTTGTTCTTTGTTCAATAAGAAATCTATCATACATCCAAGACTTGTAAGTTTAATTATATACTATAATTTACATATATAAAAACATAAATTAAGTTTTTTATCCAATTTTTAATATAAATATAAATTAAAATGTAAAATTGGATGAGAACAAAAAATCACAACAACACCACTAATAGAGCAACAAATCATTAAAATATATATATCACACCTATGATTCTTAAAATAATTCACATTATCACAATTATATAATATTAATTTAAATAAATTATTATTGATCCTATAAATAAAAATTAACATTTTCAATAATTAAATTAGTTGATAAAATTTCTAAATTCTTCAATCTAAGTTAAATAATTAGCTCTTAAGGCATAAATTAAAAATCATTAAAAAAATCAAACTTTTCAATACTGAAATTATCATATAATTTGATAAATTTTTAATTGTAAATCAAAGAGAAATAATTAAATATGAGACAAACTCCACATCTACTAAACATGTACAAATATAACATAAATATAAACTAATATAAATAACTAAAAACTAAATCTAAGTAAACATGTAAATATAGTAGAAATACTAAATATTATGCCAACAAAATTTTCGGATTAGAAGAGCACATGTCGAATGAAGATTAGAGCAACTTTTACTTTTTCACATAAAATTAAGCCAAAGAAAAGTTTACATCATAACACTCGATTCTTATGTATTTACATACTCCTAAACTTTAACTTTTACATATGTGGTGTTTGTTTATATGATGAAAGTTTTGTGTGATATAAATGTAAAAATCCAAGTTTAGGAGCTAGATATTGATATGTAAATTCATAAAAATTGTATGGTGTGTTTGTAAATGCGTACAACAATACGGAGATGAACTCACCTTCGTGTAAAGTCGAATGGTTGAAGTAATGTAATAATTTACTATTTTTAAAAGATAGATGTTGAATCGTAAATTGTCATTTGGGAACACACACTTCGAGAGTTAGGGCCAAGCGGAGGAGGATGAGAGAGACTGATTGAGGAAATCCCTGTAGAGAAAAGGGGCTTCGTCCTGGTATTCACCTTTTTGCCTTCTTTTATAAGGCCATATTTGTACAGCAGTATAATAGAGGGAACAGTTATGGAAATCGTCTTTAATACAATTTAATCGTAATGATCTACTATCAAATATGTATTACAATTTGAATGCAAATAGGGTGGTAACCAGCTGGCCAACACGCTTGAGTTCAATGTGAAGGTTGAGGTGACCGACCGAGTGGTGATTGGGCTTGCCGAAGTAAAAAGAAGGTAGGTAGACAAGTTGCGGTTGGGCGCCCTTCATGAGGAGTCGACAGTTCGGGACTGCAAGACTGGTCCGCCGCTAAGTCCCTCGTCATAGTTTGTCGGTTGACTCCAATCAAGCTATTGGTCGTTAAATAAATGGTTGGGATCATGTTATTGTAGCCTGATGCCTTGATTGTCCTACCATCAAGTCGCTTGATTGCTTTGAGATTCATGATGATAGCTTTGGTGCATACAATGGTGTTTGCATCATCTTTTAATATCACGGGTGTAGGATGTCCGCTCAAACAATCATAGGATATACTTCACACACATATGACTCCCCAAGGCTTGAGATATACATCTTCGATCCACTGACACGTGACCAAGATCATTTTGCTAAGCTTTGGTTATCGAAGAGGCGAGGGCCAACCGGCATTACATTGATGTGATGACCCTGATTAGACGTGTTTTATCGCACAACTCAAACAAATCGGGCCCTAAATGGGGTTACTCGTGAAGACTTATCCTTCAGATGACTCTGGATGGCGTAACTGACAATGTGGATGCATTCGGGACATTATGTTTGATTAGAAGGACAGTCCAAGTCTTATCACGTGGCATAAATCATTAAAATCACAAAACGACACCCAAACATGATAGGCTTTACCACTCCTCGTTTGTGGTTTTGCCACAACTCACTCTTAAATCATTTTTTTTTTGTCAGCTCATTACATGGTCCTTGTTTTCTACCTTAACGTCGTCCCACCGCCAGAAGATAAGTTGTTGGACCGGTTTTGGAAGTCGAATATGGCATGTGAGTTATCTGGGACCTTGTTAAATGAGGCAAACAGTCATTCCATGCCTTGAACCCAGGAAAATATCTCGGGCAAGGAGGACTGGAGAGGGAGATCGCACTCATTTCACTTTGGGAGCCAGAAGCAATCACAGAGAGGTTGAGGGAGAGTTTTGGAGAGTCATTGGAGATCTTCTTCTTCTTCCTCTCTTATTTTTTCTTGATCACCGTCTCGATCCTCAGAAAACTCCTTGTGATGAGAGCTTTAGCACCATAGGTGAGCGGAGGCCGGTACTTAAGAGTATCGTCGAAATCTCTTAATGATGAAGAAAGCTTCTTCTCGAGCAACGATTGGACTTTTATCAACCACCGTGACGATATAACCTCCTCAACCTTCTAATTTTCAGTTTTCTAGGTCCCCTAGGTCTGATTGTTTGTTGTGCTTAGAGGAGATCGATAGGTTAGGGGCCTTTTGCGGATTCTCCCATAAAAAATGTGATTGTGTCAATCTCGCTATTTGTTCGACAATTTCACTTGGATGGACAAGTGAAATCAAAGGATCGGACGGATGACGATGCCCCTTTAGTTGTCATTCACTTGATCGCAAAGAGTTCTCCTTGTTAGTCAATCCTTCACTCTATGCGGGCAAATGAGTGGCGAGGTCACGATGCTTCATGCAATATGACATTGACATCTCTTCCATCGATTCAACCTTAAAACCTACGCGAGCTCGTTATGATGAGTTTGATGTATTGTCGAGCTATTTGGGTTTCATTGCATATGTGTGTTGATTTGTTGCATTTTTGCATTTGGATCATGTCGCATGTCGTTTGCTTGATAGCGTGAGCACTTCAGTTTGATCAGCTGCTACGACACTATCATCCGATCACTTTGGGTCTGATCGACTGTCCCGACTTGATCAACCTATTTTTTAGGCTCGATCGGCCTGCTCGGCCCGATCGTCTGATCTTCTGGGTTTGATCAATCATCTCGCATCGATCACCTACTTTAGGTCCGATAAGCCTATTTCTCTGATTCGATCGATCGGCCCAACTTAAATGCCTAATCTTTTTTGTTTGATTGATCGCCCCGTGTTGATCACCCGCTTTAGGTCCAATTGGCCATCTCGACCAGATTGGTCGTCCCATCCTGATCGCTCAATTGGTCGTTCTGTCCTGATCATTTGATCCTTTGGGATCGATCAACCGCCTCACGTCAATCACCCGTTTCAAGTTCTGTCAGGCATCTCGACCCGATCGATCTATATTTTGATCTTGATAAGTCGCCCCGGCCCGATCGTCGTATCTTTTGGGTTCGATCGACTGCCTCGCGTCAATTATCAGCTTTTGTTATGATCGTTTGTCCTGACCCAATCAACTTATTTTATGGGTTGGATCGCTCGTCCCGGTCCGATTGCTCGGTCTTTTAGGTTCAATGACTGCCCCACATCAATCACCCACTTTGGGTCTGATCGCCTGTCTCAGCACGATCGCCCTAGTTTCTAGGCTAGATCAGCAGCCCCAGGCCCAATTGCCCTTCTTTTGGGTTCGACCTTCAGAATCACGTCAATCATTCGCTTTGGGTCTGATCGTCCATCACAACCTGATCGTCCTATTTTCCAGACATGATCACCTGTTTTGGCCCGATCGTCCTACTTCCCGGGCTAGATCAGTTGCCCCAGCTCGATAGCCCGATCCTTTGGATTCGATCTAATGCACCTCGTAAATCACCCACTTTGGGTCTAATCAGTCTTCCCGGCCCAATCACCCACTTTTCGGGTCTAATCGATTATCCCGGATAGATTGCCCACCTTTTCGGTTCGACCCGCCGTTACAGCCCGATCAACCAATCACTTTCATGCTTGTATGCTTCTTACATGTTGCATTTTTTTCTTTTCATGTATATGAAATATCTTTTTGACTTAATGTCTATGATTTATTTTA